AGTAGTGTTATTGATTTGTGTAATGCAGATTATATTATTAAAATGAATGATGTATAGGATTTAAATTAAGAAAAGACTATTGATCTCAAAGACCCACACTTCTTTTCTATTCCACTCCTACTCCATTGGCAATGGATAAAGCTCTGGATAATAAAATGCTTTCTACAATGTATAGGAGATTCAGTTAAGCACCCATTATTGAGAATGTCTTGCTCAACAACATTCATAGTGAAGTTTTTGAAGTTGAAGCAATCACTTTGAAGTAAATCATCCTTTCAAATTTGGACTGAAAAGGGGAGGGTAATAGCTTTTAGGCTTTTCTTCCCTTAACGTGACTATTTCCACAGATGGCTCCCTATGAAAATTAATGAACTAACTTAGATTTACAGGAAATGCCATTTAGAACGAATTATAGTTAGAGAACAGATCCTGTGAACACAGTAACAGAATTATTTATATATCTTAGTAACTACAAATTTGTTTTCACATTATTTTAAAGTAGCATTAAACAAAATTATTTTTTAAACCATAAAAGAAAAATGACCAAAAGAAAAAGTCTAACTTATATTTAATGTTTAATGCTATTAAGCTTTAAAAGATTTGAGACTTGATAATGAAAACATATCTAAGAATTAAGACAAAAACATTATTCTTAAGTTTTATTTGGTTCTTATATGCTACACGGCAGAAAATACCAAACTGACATGAATCAAAGAGCCTTTGTTTAAGAATACAAAAATATCATGCATCCTTTAGAAATTTCCAGAGAAAGCATTATGTACACGTAACAATTCCCCAAGACAAATGTAAACTTCATGAACTGCAGACATGTTCAAATAAAAAATTATAAAAAAAATAATTAAAGCATCTACCCTGAATTTTAAAGCCAAGTAATTTAAGACACTAATAGGTATAAAATCTATAAATTTATCACACTATGAAAGAAGGTGGTTGGGGGAAGAAAGGAGGAAGAGCATGTTTCCATCTCCCATACATATTATCAATGCCAGTACAATACCAACACCTAACACCAAGTCTGTACTCAGAAATTAGTAAAGAAGATACTGCATATTTATCCAGCCTTTTCAAGATGGACTTAATCTATAAATTTCTTTTTTTTTTTTTTTTTTGGGAGGGTACTGGGGATCAAACTCATGAGCTTGCACTTGCTAGGCAGGCACTTAAAGCTACTGAGCAAAATCCCTGGCCTATGTTTTTGTCTTTCTTTCCAAAAGAATGTCAGGTATATTTAGAAGAGTAGGAAGGACAATATGGGAAATTATGCAGAATCTCCAATATTACAACCAGTTAAGATAAAGAAAATCATAAGCTGCTAAAACAATTTTATGAAAAATTATTAAGATAACACATGGTGTGATGGTACCACCTCACTGAATACCTGCTAATTGTAAAAAGGAAATTCTATGCTAGAAAGATGGCATCATCAACAGTGAGACAACCTGATATCATGTGCCTTTTTATCCTAGACTGAAAAGTTGAAAGGACATTTTGGGAGCACTGAGGTAATTTGAATATGGACTATAAATTAACTAATATAAGAAATTATTAATTATAACAATAATATAATTACATACATAAGAGACTTCTTTTTAAGTGTTTCATGTTGAAGTATTCAAGGATCAGGTGTCATAATGTTTATACAGATCAGCAGAAAATACAGACATACATAAAGAGAATACTATTAAAGTTGGTGGTGGGTATATGGGTGACCAGTGTAGCTTTTTTATTTTTCAATTATTCTGTAAATTTGAATCATTTTATAAGCTGAGAAAAATAAATACAAATTAATAGACGTAGTTCTTAACAGAGATAGTGACTTCTTTGAGTATGGAGATCAATGACATATACTATAAAGGAGGGATTTAAAAGAATTCTGAAGAGGAAGCAGGAACTGAAAAAGAGTTTCTAAAGAGAAAAAGGTCAGAAAGCAGTACTAGAGAAAATTAAGATGACAATATTAATAAAGCAAGAAATAGAAGATTTTGTCATCAGTTTCAACTCTGAGATCAGTAATTAAATTACATTGATTTTTCCAAATGTAGCCCTTACCTAATGTTTAGGTTCTAAAACTCTTTTGTACTATAGACAAAAGTCACATACTGTGGGGAGAGGCAATTAAAGCATTAGTTTTCAGGGTCCAATATGATCTATGTTGTCCCCAAGTCTAGGCCAGGTCAACATAAACTGCTAAATTAATAATTTTCCTGTGAATATGAGAGAGTCAATTGTGGCATAAGCACAGAAATTTCTAGTATGTTGATTTTAGTTATTTTAATAATGGCACTGATTGACTATAGAATCCATTACTTGCTGACCATCAGCCTTTATTACTGCTAGGAAAAAATAAATCAATTAAAAAATATGGTCAATTTAGTCAGGTTACATAAATACTATTATGAGTACTCTGGAAATATATCCTTATCATAGGCTAGAAACACAGGTGTGATGGCATAATAACAAAGGAGTTTCATTGTAAGTGTTCTCCTAAATTTAAACGATAAAGATTCAATATATGCCTAAGTGATCACTTAGAGGTTTATTGTAGCTTCAAGCTCAGAATCTCATTTTACTGCCATTTCTGACTTTTAAAATTGACTGAACAGGGTATAAGGATACAGGAAAATGTCTAATTTTGCCTTCTAAATCAAGTCTAGCAGTATGTCTGTGAAGAAACAGAACAGTCTATGAATTTTTATCTTCTTTTTCCTGACCCATAAGGAAAACAGTGAGTCACCCAATTTTCCTTGCCAGTTTGGCAAGTTCTAGCTGAGTTAGTGTCTTCACTTGTTAAACAGAAATAACATACCAGTAAAACAGGAATGCCAGGCCTGTTTGGCCTGTCCTGAGATACATGTGATGGAATAGCATGAAAACTGTCTTCAAAGAAAGGAAATGACCTTAAAATTATCATTTGTTTAGCATACATTTTAATTTGGCTTATGACTATTCATATTCTATGGTACAACAAGTAGGAAACAATAAGTAGAAACTACTTTTAACGACCTAGTTATTTAGCAAAAACATAAAAACAAGTTAGACACATAATCACATATGGGAGAAATCTCGCCAAAATTATTTAACCTGAATCTAGTGAAACAATTAGTCCATATATTCCAAGAGAAAAAATTGATCGGGGATTTTAAAAAGTGTCAGTGCCAAGAAAGACCCAAACAAAACCAGACATGAAGAACACAATTTAGAAAAAAGGAAACAGACATGGTGGTCATGGATTCTAAAACAAACAAATAATCAGAAAAAAGCATTTTTGAGGATAATTAGAGAAATTTACTCTGTATTTTAGGTAATATATCAATAAACTTCCTCAGCAAGATAACAGTATTATGGTTATGAAGAAAATGGTCCTTGGTTTTAGGAGAAACATGCTGAAACATTCAAAGAGCTATAGTGTTTACAACTGGTTTCCAAATAATTCTGAAAAAAAATTAGAGACAAAAACATGAGAAAATGTTAACAGCCCTAAAAATCAGGTAAATGGTATAAAGATGTTTATTATTCTGTTCCATCCTTTTATATACTGAAGTTTTCAAAAGACTAAGATATAGAGGCTTCAGGATTTAGCTCAGCGGCATAAGCGCCTGCCTTGCAAGCAGGTAAGTCGTGAGTTCGATCCCTGGTACCAATAAAAAAGAAAAAGACCAAAAAAAAAAAGACTAAGATATAGAAAAATAAAACATAAAACAAAATAAAATAAATGTTGACAAGTAATGGAAATATATTAATTTTTCAGTAATAAAACTATACATTTCTTAAAATTTTATAAGCCAAAATTAAATTCACTATATTATCATACTCAGGTATTATTTATTCATATTATTTAAAGAATTTATTCATATTATTTAAAGAATTTTACTAAGCCTTTGATAAACAAAACAGGTAAAAGGTCTCAGTAAAAGATTTCCTGTAGGTAAAATGCAATGTAGACAGAATAGACAAAGATGTTATTATTGGAAAGGATTATGAAACTAAAGTCAAGTCCATACATAGCGTAAGACTGGTACCCACATGTTTCCAAGAATAAAACTGCAATATGACTTGATTGTTTTTTTTGTAAAAGAAAATATCAAACAATGTAGAATAGTTAACAGATGTGATAGTTCACACTTTATCATACACTCCATCAGTGGAACCACTCCAAAGGCATGCAGTTAAAACAACTAGACACAAAGTGTGGTCTGCAGGCAGAAAACACTGGATTTTGCTCTAGAAATATCATTATTCTGGAATAGGAGTACTATAAAAAGGAGGGGAAGAAAAACTCTAACAAAAACATTAGCCTGGGACAATATATGAAAATAAATTTAAAACACTGGGATAAAATACACTAAGTGAATCTTATCTTAAAAGTCTTCCAAAAGATTTTTGGGTGAAAAAACTGATAAATTTCCCAAGCCTCATTTGTATCAAATCTGTGAGAAGCATTAATACAATTAGTTAATGGATTCTCTAGGCAGTAAGTACTATTTTTTAAGAGGAGTGAAACTATTCAAGCACTCTACATGAACGTTCAGACTTTCCTTTCCTGTCAGAGGTTGGACAACTAACCATCAATTCCATAAGAAATCTGAAGAAATACTCAGGAATGTCTTTTCATGGGTTCATTTGAATATTAACTACAAAGAACATCGGTGTGACATGGGTTAACAATTTATATTTATATCATTGTTAGTAAAATATTTTTGTGAAAAATGTAAATATATTCTAAGTGTGGAGTGACATCCTCTGATTTAAGCCCTATATATTAGTATGGACTTCCATTATTGTGGGCTCTTCTAAGGAAATACACAGTAGTTCCTTTATAGGAAATGCTGTAATGAAAAAAAATGAGAAAAGATTAAATTATCTTTAAGATCTATCCTGTTTTTAGAGATTCTTTATAAAATGGCAACTTGAAAAGAATAGACAGGAACAAATATCATAAAGTGCTGTTATCTGTACATAGAAAATAGCATTTCATTTACCTTATGAATGGGCACTATCAAGGTGGGTTCCACTTTAGCTTCAATTTCTTCTGGACTATAAAAGCAATACAGTTTACCCCCTCTCAAAATACAGTACAGCCTTCTCCAAACAGTTAGACCATCTATCATTTGCTGGAAAAAAATCAAGAAGCTATCAATTTTAAGTCATTATCACTAACTCCAAATTCAATGCAATACTTAAGCTATCAAAGTCAAATAGATTTTAAGAATTTTTAAAACGTGATAGAATTACCCACTAATGTGCTACAGAATAAGTTTATCTGCTTAACATCTAACAGTAAGTTCATATCAGAGAAAAAAAGTTAGAAATTTTCAAAAAGTACTAAGCAAACTGAAGCTAATGATTACCACATAAATTACACACATCATAAATCAACGCAGCTTTTAGAAAAGCTAGCCTATTAAAAAATTACTGTTCAGAATTCCATAGCAATTCATCAAATGACTCAGGAAAATTATAAAAATAACTCCCAATGTTGAAAATGTAATTTTCCCTTACTGTTCTCAGAACATTAGAAAATGTTGACTACCTGATAAGAATGCAAATTTTCTTTCGCTTAATGGAATCTTTTAGAAAAAGCTATTGATTCACTGAAGCCCACAATTAATTATTTACTGAATATAAATAACTAAGGCTATAAATAAATCAGGAGTAGGTTGCACAGAGGCAGCTTCAGAAGCCCAGCTACCTGGATTGTGCCAGAAGCTGTCTGCCAGAAGGGCCTTTATGTGAAAGTTGTTGTACAGCGTTGTCATTTTCCACAAAGAGGTCCAATAATACAGCTACTGTTGGACCAGGAACCTGGAGAGCAGATCCCGATCCATCTAAACTGCACCAGACCTTCCCCTTGCCATCCATCTTTTCCTAGCATCCCACAGTGTCTAATAACATTTAAAAAATTAACATTTAAAAAAGGTTTCTCGGTATAAGGTCAAACAACTAGCTGCCTGTACATTAAGATCTTGATTGGAGCTAAAATCGTAAGATATTTAAAGTCTGCTAACCTGCTGATTAAGAAATCCTGCAAATGCATCCTCAGCCATACAAGCTGGCTGGGCGACTAATCGGCAGCACATGTTGCCATATAAGGGAAGCCAAAATGAAGACTCCTCTATTTAAAGGAGAAAGAAAAATAATCAAGTTACAAATATATGTTTATTTAATGTCATTATGCATTTTGCAACTTTCTTTTCACAATTTACTATTTACAACATACTTTAATATTTTTTTCATATAAATATTTACCTGTTCAAATGCCACTATCATGTTTAATGACAAAATCAAATATGAAAAAGTAGACACCACATGATACTAAACCCTTAAGTTTAATGGCTGAAATCTGTTTTGTTTGGCTTTTGAGACAAGGTCTCAACTGAGTGCTAGGATTATAGGCATGCACCACCACGTCTGGCTCATTTAATTTGATTTTAAAAGTAATTATTCAATGGAGATGCTCAAGGAATATAAGTAATTTCATTTAACAAAAATTCTAATAAAGTGATTTGTCAGATTCTACTTTTTGCTTGGTTTTCATTATCAAAATTAGCAAAGTGACCCTCTAAGTAAAATATTATTTTAGCCAACTCAAGATAAATTAATAATCCTTTCTGGTCCTTTCTCTTCCCCTTCCAATAGTCATTATACTAGGTATGGCCCACAGGATGAACATCTGTGCAGGAGTTTGGGAAAGGGACCTGTGCTTGCAATGAACGTTGGAGCAAAGGAGGACAAGGAGGGTGATGAGGAGGGTTCCTAGCACAATGTGTCACAGAGCCTAGATAGGCTCATAGGACATTCATAGGCTTGGGACACTACTTTGAGCAAACATGTGAGGACTGTCCATCTGAAATAGCAGCATAAAGGAGATGGTGCAGGAAAAAGGGCCCCAGCAGAGTGTGGAGTGCCTCCATGTACAAGAGCTGTTTGAAGAGAGGTGTCGAGACCCAAGTAGAATAAGAAGAGTGGCCACACTCTGCTGTAGCAATCAGACTGAGGGCAGTTGGGAAGCCACCCCCAAATGGGTGACAGTGCAATGTTAGCACCTAAGTCAAGTGAGAAGGTAACCAGGGATCCTGGAAAAACAGCTGATTCTGGGATGGGACAGGGAAAGTGTATGATGAGCTGAAATACTTTGGTATGACGTAGAGCAAGGAAATGCTCAAGAATAATGTAAAAAAGACAGAGAAGTCCTGTGGAATGAGTACCTACTGGCTGCATTTAGGACAATCTGAACCCAAAATAATCAATGATATTAACAGATAATACAATGAATAAAAACGGAAAAATATAAATGCATAGTTTAGAAATCTAATAAGAAACACATACTTGCACAGTTTTAAAATACCCTATTCAATCCACAAAATATGTATTAATTGCATAGTAGAAAACAAAAGAGTAATTTTACAGTAGAGCAGCTTGGCAGATTTAGTCAAGAAATCAAAATGGCACATAATTAATATGTGGGTGAGTCAAAATTATATGCCACCTGATAGGATGCAATGAGAACAGAGCATCAGTGCCTAAGATGCAGATTCTGAAAAGAAATATGAGACAAATTCCCAAGAAATATGAGACAAATCCAAATTGAGAACCCTTTAATGAAATAAAGTCTAATGATTAAAAATGTCAAGGTCAGGAAAGTCAGAGAAGGACTAACACTGTCTAGGCTGAAGGAAGCTAAAACCACGTGATAATTAAATGCACTGAGAGATCATTTCATTGAAAAAATGGACAACATGAGTAAGGTCTGAGAATGAGACAGTAATAATCTACTGATACTCATTTCCTGAGTTCAGTAGTTATGATAAAGGTAAAAGACTTGGTAATGGTTAATATGCACTAACAGAATTAGGGGTTATCAAACAACAGGTAAGCAATTTTCTATTATATCTTTTTTGGGGAAAAAGAGCTTGACATTCAACTTACACATTTTAAAAAGTTCTTTCAAAAAAATCACTATGACATTCCCTCAATCTAGTGACCAAGTGTATTTATGTCCTCTATATTACATGGAAGGCAAACACTGAATAATTTATTCTGTGTATCAGATTACAAATAAAATCCAATATATGGCCTTCAGTTCACACTGGTCCATACAGAAAGGATTATTTTAAAGTTTCCACTACACTCCCATTGGTAGCACCCATAAAATGACTAGCTGTTGGCTATAATTATTATTTGCCTCAAAGCCTTAGTTACTCTGGAAGACACATTTTTGATGAAAAGTTATTTATATAAAACACAAGACAGTAAAGATTTAAGGTATCAGTTAAAGGAAAAAGAACACCTTAAATGAAAAGTATAAAGTAAAATAAAACACTTTTTAAATAACTTACCTAAATTCTACTTAGAATAGTATATAACAAATTTTCTAGAAGTATTGAAACTTTTTACTAATACATGGTTAAAACTGTTGTTTTTTACAAATAAAGAGTTGATCTGGGAAAATTAAATACAATGACTCGAAATGCAAACTAAAATAGAGCCACTTTTCTAAAATAGGCAGAAAATGAAATAAAAATTCTACAAAGGGCATGCACCTGAGCAATACATCAGAAATTTATATAAGAAATCTCAGATTTATAAATGCTTTATGTTCTAAATATTTGTAAGTTATTTTAATTTTGAATGCACTTCCTAAAGAAACAAAATATAAATGATCAGATCCCCAGAACAGACCCTAACATTTGTGCAGCCAATAACATATCTGAACATAAACACCCCAAGTGACAATGTGTTTCTCTGGTAAAATAAGTTCAGATTTCATGACAAGCAAAAGAAAGTAAGCCCTTCCACCTGCAGTCCTTTAGATATTGGACGCAGAATTCCTTGGTCCACAGCCCTGCAACCACGTTACTTCTAATCTAGGTTTCTTTATAGGTTGGGACCCACTGTGCAATAAAATAACAGCTTCTCTATACTTCTAATAAAAAGTATGGCATCTTCATTACTCATGTCATATATCTGAATGTCAATTTTTCATTTAAAATTTTCTATATTAAGAGGTGGGTTGCTATGATGACCAAAAAAAGATAATGTATACATGATATTCACTATGTGCCTCACACATAACAGATGCTTCTAATTTCGTATTCAGCACTGTCTCGCTCCCCAAACCACACCCTTTCCATTTTTCAGTCTTACCTCCCAGTCTTTGAACAACACGTTAATGAAATACTTCCTCTTTTTCTAACCAAGGGAGGTATAAGGACAAGATGAAATGAAATAAGAAATGAAAGAACAGTTTGGCTTTTCATTATTTAAAGACTTTATCTCATTTATTTATAGTTTCAAATGGAGAACAAAAAAAAGTTGACAAAGATGATAACAAAAACCACAGGATGGAGAAAGAAACCAGAGAACAGTTCTGATATGTACAAGGCAATCTTCATGATGTAGTTATATTATCTGATAAACATTATAAAATTTTTTTGACAAATACAAACCTTAAGACACTATTTGGGCTGTCCTTCAAGCAACACTAAGAAAATTGAGTTACAATTTTAAAAACCTTTGTATCACCTCTAAATTTTAAAGCGAATAAAACAAAACAGAACAGAGCAAAGCAAAACAGTGCAAATAACACAGGATTTCAGAACAAGACAGCAGGAAATTAACAGTGGCTACCATAATGTCTCTTGTTTTCTTCCAAATAGCTGTTCGTACCTTCACACACAATAAGTTAATACAAATCAAAATAGTATAAAAGCAATCAAAACAAAATAATGAGAGCCTTAAGGGCTTTCCAGACCAGACACTAGGAAATCAATAATGGCTACCATAATGCCTCTTGTTTTCTTCAAAATAACTGTCCATATCTTCATATATATTGAGATCAAATAATTAAAAACAGACTAAAACCAATCAAAACCAAGAGTAAAAGCATTACTGGACTTCAAAACAAAATGACAGGAAATCATCAATGGCTACTATGATGTCTCATTTTTTCAGGATAGTTGCTCATACTATCACATATAATAAAAATCAATTCTTGTAAACCCTTTAGGTGAAGTTCTAGGCTTATATATGTCTAAACATGTATATCTATCCTTTCTGTATTAGAGGGAAAAACAAAACAACAAATAAATAACTGTAACTAAAAGCCCAATACAGTAACAATGTAGACTTTCAAAACAAGGTGGTAGAAACATAACGAATTTTGTTGTTTTGCATTAACCTTCAAAAGTCTTACTCAAATTACCAGATACAATTATGAAAAATTGATCTAATCCTACAGATGTTAACTGTTTGGTTCCAAGAACTAATAGAATTAGTAGTACAATCATCTTACTAGACTTAAGTGTATATATACAAATTTATATCTTATTTCTTTTCTCTTCCTTCTTTTCTCCTTTTCCATGCCTGAGTTACTTTTTCCTCTTTGAGAAGCTCCTTACCCTTTCACAATATTTACTGAAGATTTTGTATCTTACTCTCAGTTTTTTACACTAGGGAAAAAATATAGTATTTACACATTTGAGTTTGATTTACTTCACTTACCAGTGTGGTCTCAAGTAGCTTCCATTTACCAACAAAAGCTTCAATGTGGTCTTTATAGCTAAGTAATATTCCACTGTATAAAAATACCACATCTTTTTTATCAATTCCTCAGATGATGGGCATTGGATTGTTTCCAAGATTTAGTTATTACAAACTGTGCTGTTATAAACATGGGTGCACTTATATCATTGTGGCACGATGTTTTCAGTTCTTCTGGAAATATGCCCAGAAGTGGAATAGCTGGGTCAAATGGTACCTCCAATCCCAGCTTTTTGAGGAACTTCCACACTGATTTCCACAGTGGCTGCACCATTCCACACTTCTACCAACAATGCAAAAGTATTCCTTTTTCCCCACAGCCTCTCCAGCATTTGTTATTGGTAGTTTTCTTGATCCTGGCTCTTCTTTCTGGAGTGAGGTGGAATCTCAGTGTTGTTTTAATTTGCATTTTTCTAATGACCAATGATGTGGAACATTTTTTCAATATATTTATTTGCCATTTGTATTTCTTCATCTGAGAGGTGTGTATTCATCTCAGATGCCCATTTCTGGATTGGGGTTTTGAATTTCAGAGGCTTGATTTTTTTAAGTTCTTTATCTGAGGGACAGTTG